TTTCGATCTGGAAATTATTAACGCAGCAGGACGCACGTATTACATGGGCATAGTAAAAGTCTGCATATAGTCCGAAACTTTCCAGCTGCGGCCAACGACGGCGAAAGTAACAAATGAACTTCAACCGCCCTATACCGTAATGAGGATCTGTAAGGACTTTGACAAAAACAACTGCTTCATGCAATATAAAACGGTGTTCCGGTGGAAATATGAAATAGAGCTCTGTTTTTGGTAATGCCCTACCCTATAAAGTTAAAATTTACTGTTTTGCTATAATGTTACTGTCAAAAGCGTTATTTTCGCGAAGTCATGATATCTTGAAACAGGCACAAAAAAATATTTAAACTCAAAGATAGTATTGTTTTTATGTGTTTGTACGGTATTGGCTTATGACTTTTCACTAGAATCCAGCCTGTAAGCTTGCTTAACTGTCGGTGAACCGGAACCATTGGAAAGGCCTCACATCTTTCAACTTAACATCACGAGCCGCGCTGATCATAAATAAATGGCGATGGATGTCTTGGTACATTTTGACGTTCAGGAATTCGACGTCTTTTCCTATCTTAGTACCTCATACAATGATTGATCTATCGTACTTATATTCTGGGGCCTCTGGCATGTCCGAAACACGTAACGTTTTATCATACTTTGAGTGCTCTTTACCAAGTTTTGTCGAAAGAAACCGAATTACGTGTCTTAGTGTGGTTTGCCGGATTTCTGTACTTTAATAAATGCTTGACGTAGAAGCAGATCTGTCAGTAGTATTTTATTGCATGAAAACTAATTTCCAATTTCTCGCTATCGTTTCGTTGTTTGTTCTGACGTCCTGTCCAAGCATTCACAATCGTTCATCAGCATTGGGATGTGTCTTTGACCCGCCCGTTTGCTTAAAATAAAAATATCAGTTGCAGAGAAAGGTATATATTAATTGCAAATAAGGTACCAAAATTACATCGAATCACTAACGGAACAAAATTCTAGACATTTATTATCTCACACAACATTTAATGTGACGCATTCTGAAAAACTATGGGTTTAGCGTCTTTTTTCTACAGGAGTAACACTTTAGGAAACTTACTGTAGTAGCAGCTGATCTTCGCTTCTCATCATCACAGAGAAGAGAAATGGTGCCTGTCAAATTGCATGTAACTACTGTTGATTGAACTTATGGTGGCAAGATGCATCGATCGTCAAAGACCAGAGTAAAAGAAGAGTCGTTAGGTGCCTTAACGTCGATTTTTCTGGTCTTATTACCTAAGCCCTGGAACCATATTCCGGTTGTCGACCAAAACCATTGCAAACCGGAGCTTTTAATCAAGCTGTAGCTTTATGTCGCAGCAAACCAAAACAAGCTACCGCACTTCGCCGCTGCTTTACGACTAGCTCTCCACTACCGTGTTCAGTCTGTTTATAACCTAACCATGTGCCCTATCTTACAATATATGTTTGCCCTTTTACAATCTGACGCAACTGCATCCGTCGCGCATTTGAAACCTAACCATGAACTCTGTTTCAATAAGACTCGTTATTCAAATGGACGCCGTTACACAAAGTTTGGCC